CGCAAAATAAAAATGATTCCTCCCCCTGACAGCCGGGACTTACCAGCTATATCTTCACATGCAAGGAAGTGCATCCTTATGCTCCCTGACAGCTGGGACATCGAAACGTACGTAGCATTGTCGCGAACGTCTATGTGCATACTGGTCGATCGGTCTCTCTGCAACAATGAATCATGGTCGAGCAAGCAGCGGCACGTGTAGTAGTAGACGACGTCGAGTTGGCGACGGAGGAAGACTCGGCATGCCCCCGACATAGCAATTCAGGCAGTCCCTTCTAAACTGTTTACACGTACATACAGCTAGATGCCAAAAAATACGGCGGGGTCTCGAATGCCTACTCGCGCATATGTATGGCCAGGTCTCGTGTACATGGAGAGGCAGTGGACGGCAGCAACGGCGTCATGTTCATCGGTAGCCAACCGGCTTGGACGGAACAACCGAAACGAGGTCTGCCGTACCGCAGAACGAAGGAAACGGGCCTTTGGTTCGACCGTGTACGGTCAAAAGGGGGTCCTGTTCATCGGGAAGGTCTGGCATACCGCAAAACAGAGGAAATGGACTTGTGTTCGACCGCATACAGTCGAAATAGGGTCCTGTTGATCGGGAAGGGTGTGGCATGCCGCAAAACGGAGGAAATGGACTTGTGTTGGAGCGCCTACGGTCGAAATGGGGTCATGTTCATCCACCGTCTAGTGCCTCGCTCCAGCCTCCACGGGCTACTGCTAATCCACCGTAGACCTCCTCCAGCCTCCACGGGCTACTATTCATCCACCGCTACTGTTCATCCAACCTCCATCGGCTGCTATTCATAGAACCTCCACGGGGTCCTGTTCATCCACCCCCAACCGGCTGGGGTGCGGCGGCCTCCTCGCGGTCCTGTTCATCCAGCAGAAATAGCCTACTAACACGGGGTCCTATTCATCCAACCCCCATTGGGAACTGTTCATCCACAGCCAACCAATCGGCTCGACTCACCACGTCTCGACTCGTTCTACGTACTACGCGCATGGTAGCAATGGTCGCTGTTCATCGAGAGGCAACCCAAAACAGGCTGGCTACGTCTCGCACGGGGGCTCGGTCGGCTTTAGTAAGCAGCAGCAGTAATCGATCGCTCGGGTTTAGTTAGCAGCAGCAGCGAAGGAATAGCTCGGGTTCAGTCAGCAGCGAATGAATCACTCGGGTTCAGTTAACAACCAAGGGATCGATCGCTCGGGTTCAGTAACGTGCGATCGCTCGGGTTTAGTTAGCCAACGCCTCGCACATATGCGCATACATGAGAGAAACGTGGAAACCTCCATGCATCGCTCGGCCCCGACCACCCATCGTAGCAGGGAACTACCCGATATTTTCCTCGCCCTCGCTTCTACCACGATTTTTTCCGTCATGGACGGCCCAAAGAATGTCATGCAGCTACGTATCCGGTCCGCCCAGGACGAAAATCCCATTCTCTGTCATGATTTTTTGTCATAGAAGTAGGAGCCCACCATATCTATGATGATACCGGGTTTTGTCATAATTATCGTCATATGAGTTTCATAAGCATGATAGGAAAAAAATCGTTCGGCCCAAAATGTCACGGATGTGTCTTTTTTTTGTAGTGTCATTGCCATATCTTTGTTAAAGAATTGCAACTTGCCAACCTCTTATTTGGGTCACATTGTTTTACACGCTGTTGACCTGATATAATTGAGGCCAACTGCATATCACAGTTCTTCCCCACTGGAATTGGTACGTGGAAATCCTCCTAGCATTTCCCATCTGCATAAGCTTAGATCTGCTGCATACATCCCGATCTCACCACCACAGCGGACATCTATGGGCCCACACAGGTAGTTGGGGATCTATGTGGGTACAAATCACCGTCGATTATCAAGTACTTGGAACCCATGACTGGGGATTTGTTCACAGCCCGTCACGCTGATTGCATATTTAATGAGGAACATTTTCCGGCATTAGGGGAGATTTCAAGTACCAGAAAGAATGCCTGGAAATTAATTGGAATGCTTATGCCATTTCATCCTCTGATCCACGTACCCAAGAGACTGAACTTCAAGTTTGGAAGATCATTAATTTGCAACATCTTGCAAATAATCTGCCAGATTCATTTACTGATCTCAAAGGTGTTACAAAATCCTTAAATCCAGCCAGAAATGTGCCCAAAAGAGTGGAGGTACCAATAAAAACCACTAAACTCCATATTCCTAAAAAGAGGGGGAGTAGTATGGCCTCTAACCTGGAGCAAGCTTCTAGCAAGCAGCAAAGGAAATCGAGGAGAAAAACCTCGGAGTCAGTAAATGCAGGTCAGCTCAACATTGACAAACATGTGATGGGTCGTATACACCCAGTGGAAGGGCAACTTCCACAACCCAGCTCCAGTGTGCACAAACTGCCTGGGACATCAGAACACCCGGACTCACGCGTATTGGGAAATCATGAAGAGTCACTAGGGGTGCAGGAAATTTCCATCAACTATGTTGATTCGATCATTTGACCATAAGACTACGACTGTCGACATATTTTTTTGCTGAAAAGATTGCAGATACCCTTCTCGCAGATCATGATCCAAGCTCTATTGTTGACTGCCAAAAGCGCTCCGACTGGCCTAAATGGAAGGATGCAATCCAAGCAGAAATTTCCTCGCTTAACAAAAGAAAGGTATTCACTGAAGCAATGCCGACACCTCCCAGTGTTTTTCCTATGGGATTCAAATGGTGTTTTCTCCGAAAACGGAATGAGAACAATGAGGTGGTGAGATATAAAGCAAGGCTCGTAGCACAAGGTTTCACGCAGAAACCTGGCATTGATTTCACTGAAACATATTCTCCAGTAATGAGTGGAACCACTTTCGATATCTTATATCTTTGGCAATGCAAAATCGTCTATCTATGCAGTTGATGGACGTCATGACCGCATATCTTTACGGGTCACTAGATTCGGACATATATATGAAGGTTCTTGATGGGAACTCTGCCCTGAATAAAAGTCTAAAACGCAACATGTATTGTGTAAAGTTGAATAAGTCATTATATGGCTTAAGGCAATCGGGGCGGATGTGGTACAGCCAACTCAGTGAGTTCCTTCTTCAGAAAGGTTACTCCAATAGTGTTGATTGCTTGTGTGTCTTCATCAAGAAGTCCTCTACAGGATTTTGCATCATTTATGTGTACGCTGATGATCTCAACATCATTGGCAACACACCAGACATTGATGAAGCACGCAATCATCTAAAGATGGAATTTGAGATGAAGGATTTGGGCAAAACCAAATTTTTCTTAGGTATTCAACTTGAGCACCTTCCCTCAGGAATCATGGTACACCAAGCTGCCTATATCCAGAAAATACTGAAGAAATTCAATATGGAAAAATCCTATCCATCTAAATCTCCCATGGTGGTTCGATCTCTAGACGTAGAGAAAGATCCTTTTCATCCAAGGGATGATGGAGAAGAGGTGTTGGGACCTGAAGCTCCATACATCAGTGTCGTTGGAGTGCTTATGTATCTTGCAAATTTCACGAGGCCTGATATTGCATTTGCAGTAAATCTACTTGCTAGACATAGCACAGCTCCCACCAAATGCCATTGGTCTGGAGTGAAGAATATCTTTCGATATCTCCAAGGCACAAAAGATTTTGGCCTATATTTTCAGTTCCAGAGAAATCAGGACTCTGATATGATTGGATACGCAAATGCTAGCTATTTATCCGATCCCCATAATGTCAGATCACAGACCGGCTTTGTGTTCCTACATGGTGATACTGCTATAGATGGAAGTCTTCGAAACAGCTCTGGTGGCAACATCTACCAATCATTCTGAAATAATTTCATTATTTGAAGCAACATGCAAATGTGTATAGCTTCGCAAAATGATAAACCACATACAACAGTCATGTGGAATTGGTTTGATAGAATCACCTGCCATTATCTATGAAGATAATGCAGCCTGTGTTGCACAGATGCAAACATGATACATCAAGGGTAATATCACTAAGCATATTTCTCCTAAGTGTTTTCTCCCTCATGATCTTCAACAAAGCAGGGAAATAAAGGTCTTGCAAATTAAATCATGCGAAAATCTTGCTTGTTTATTTACCAAGCCTCTTATCAAATTCTACATTCTATAAATATGTTCATGGAATTGGTATGCGACGACTTCGGGACTTGCAAGCATGGGGGGTGTCTCTTCTTGAGATATCCTTGTTCAAAACATCACATTACACTATTTTCTTTGTGAGTTTATGTCTCAGGTTCTCATCAAAGATTTTAATGAAGAATTTTTTTGAAGAAGAATTCTTTGAGATGATGACAAGCCTGGACATTTATGAGATGATTCTACATGGCCAAGCGTAGATTAGAGGAAGTGTTGTGATTAATTAGCACATGTGACTAGTGGGCCCCTGTTCATAACCGTCGTGCGGTTTGCCTATGCGACCGACGCGTCTCTATTCCTCTGCCGAACCGACACATCTATCCCAAGTGTCGCATCTGTTCAGATGGTATATATATTGTAACAGTAACGATCGAACCAATAGAAGTTTCCACTCACTTCGAACAAGACAGACATTTCATGATGGACCTAGTATTATCGATAGGAAGATCAGATCTGGGGAGTGCTGCCGTATGGCGGTTCCAGCGGAGCTCCTCCCCTATAGGAAAGAACCAAAAAACGCTGAATAAAGCGAAGCATGCGAACTGACGACATTTTCACAGAAATCAAAAGGTAACTATTTTACATTGCTCTGCACAACTGCATGGCAATCAAGAGAGAAACGACACCTCTAAGGAACAGATTCAAGTCCGTTAGGAGTTACACATGGACACGGGAGCATCACAGATCAGGGATTCAGGGGTACCTATCACACTCTATCAATCTAGTGCAGAGCTAAATCAGATCGACCTACTTCTCCCCTTTACAGGCTCTTTACACGAAAAAAGGAAGAAAATAAGAAAAATGATAATATTACCAAACACCAATGACAAACAATCAAAACAAACGCCCTGGCTAGTACAGGTGCTCATGCTTCACTCGCCCTTTCAGAATGCCTGGAACAGGGGGTGGTGGTGAGCTTGGTAATCTATTTGTGCCATTACTTGCCATTGCAGATTGTTGTATCTGATGCCGATAAAAATTCGGCGTGCTCGAGCCCTCGCATCCATTTGATATCGGCTCCGAAGTACCGGCATTCTCTTCTTTTCCATACGAGTTCAGTGCTTTTAGCACATACGAGTCATCGTGCAACTCAAATGGGGTGCTGCGGTTTCAGAAATGCACATGTCAATATAGTCAGGACACCTTGTGTTGATCTAAGAAACAGAAACATAATACAGTAGATTTGTAGTGATGTTTTATTCTTTACTTCTTAGACAAAATTAACAACCCCACTTGGCTCTTCCCATCTGTCTACCCACGTGAGACCGATCAAACATGTGTATCAATATTAGTTGGCATCAGGTCTAAACTTAAAAATTGTTTCAGCACCTTCTGGATACAATTAGAAGCCGCTCCAGTTTAACCATATCACTGCATTATGCTATCATCAAATTTTGATCTAACAGCTGAGATTTTATTTCCTATTATATCCTAGCTGTTCCCATATTTTAAATGTGATAAGAGGCCTGCCCTCCCAGTCATGGCAACAGAAAAAGAAAAACATGTATTCTTAGATAAACTGGAAAGCTCTATCTCCAGAGGAGAGTAAATAACAGAATTCTTGTCTTACGTATTAAAGTCAAAATGCACAAGTTGCATATCTTCTGATATTTCAACTTCGACAGTTGCATGAGGCCGTGTCTGCAGGATACAAAAAACTGTCATTTAGCCTGACAATATGCACAGAAAGCAGAACTGTAAATAAGAGAGCAAAGAATAAGTAATTTGAAAATTATTCACCTGGATAAGGATGAATGGCAAGGCCACTCCACCCGAAGGAATGTTTCCTGAACCATACAGCTGCTCATTTCGGTTTATTAAGTTTTGCATACCTAGATACTTCATATACCAAAGACATCCATAAATACATCAATCACAAATTTGACCATGAGATAAATAAATTTCAAAATAAGAAAGATTGACTCTCAGTCTAAACCAACAATCCTTGGGAACATTTTCTATTCCAACATTAAACCCTAAGAGCAGCCTTTGTATTACTTACTTATTAGTTATTACGATGGCAACCTGGTTTACTGCAGAACATGTGGAGAGTAGGAACTTGCCGCTTACTGCCAATTTATGGTCGAAATAGCCAAGGAATGGATTGGCATTCTTAAGACAGTGGGCTACATGTTACTCCAATTTATCGACTGCTGAAAGAATGGAACTATCTAATTAATACTGCAGAGTCCCGGTCTTCATGCTAGAACCTCGGAACCATTGATTTTGAGAGGTCAGGGCCAGGAACAACCAAATTTTAGTTTGTTGAACTCTGGTAAGAACTACGTGTGAATTCGATCCTTCTTAATCTCAAGCGGCAAAGATCATAACAAACGTAATTTTAGTTTTTGAGTAGCATGGAACATCACAAAAAAAAGTGGAATGCTGGTCTGTGAAGAGTAAATAATTGACAGAAGCAGGCACACATATAAAAAATTGCTACAAGGTTGAGAACAGCTGCTTATTATTAACATATATCAAATATCTGCGGCATACCGAAAACTGTAGACAGGGAACTGGGTCAGTGAGGTGCACCCCAGTATTGGACTTGAGCTAAGCATGCATATTGAGACACAAAGGTACACGGTACACTAACTAAATGCTTTTTTGTTAGGACACTATGTTATGTCAGAGCCACGTGAGCTGAATACTACAGAGAAGTCATATCCTTACTTGATCTTGTAGCTCCTGCAAATAAGCACTTTTCTTTTCAATCCTTCCTTTCACTCCGGCGAGATCCGCCTGTAAATAGACCCAAATTGATGAATAATAATACTACAGAAGGTACATCTAATGTCAATACCCATTGAGGGAAAATAGACGCAACCTGCAGTTCTTCAATATCATTTATACTAGTCCGAGGCAAGCCTTTCCACTGTATTTCCTTCTTATCCTTAGATATAATGTCCATAGCCATCAGAACATTCAGTGCATCATAAACCCTCCTTCGAATATTTTTCTCATCATATTGTTGCTGCATTTTAACACAGTGAGCACATACCAGATAAAACAACTAACTGATGCAAAGGGCATTCATATTTCTTAACTGCATTCGGATTATCAGGATCTGGTGGTTCAATATTATTATTGGGGTCTGTAAACTCAGCAACAAGTTCATCTGCCACCTGACAAAGAAGGCAAAATGTATGAGCTCTAACATTTTAGTTTCATCAATAATGCTACTCCTAGAGATTTCAAGCAACCAGTACACAAAGAAAGAAAGAAATGTAAATATCATTATTGGCGCAGTAATAAAACAGGATAGGTTTCACAGTTTCAAGGAACTCCAAATATCAAAATGCATATATTGAAGGCAGGATACCAATTTAAAGAGTAGTAGTATATGGGCTGGTCCCTCCACGAAACCATGGCGGTCCAGCGTGCAGCGGAGGTCGCAGGTGAGAGACGAGCGAGAGAGATGAACTGGTCAGATTCGAACAGGTAGACAAGCACGACCAACTTAAACGTGTACGCCAACGGGCTGGAAATGGCCGTGTGTCGCCGTCTAACGGCATCTATCAACAAGCGCCATGTCATCCCGACAGGCGGGCCCCACCTGTCAGTTTCGCTGATTTCGCAGCCGAATTCGAGCATCAGTGCTCCGGTTACACATTAGGCGCATTTCCTGTGGTTTTTTGTGCTCTGGTTCAAATGTGGTACCAAGTTGTTACCCTAGCCCCAAGTGTGGTGGTTTTGGGTAAATAACTCAAATGGGGGATAACTCACAAGACTAGCAGATTACAATGATCAATATCTATTTGCAGTTTCATGACTTCCATCACAAAAGATCTTAGTGATCAAATGGTGATGTTACACCATGGTGTGCATGTATGTTTGCAATTTCATGATATCAAAGGCATGCAAGTTTGATTAGAATTAGTATGAGAACCAATCACCCTCAAACTCACAATCACAAAATTGATATAGGGCTGCGTTGATTAAACCAGGTGGACCACATGAGCAAGCCAACTCAATGCTATGGCTAGTTCTCCCCTATACTGTGTGGAAAATGCACATTACTCTATTTCAATAACTGGTTGGATCTTAAATATGGAGCAACGAGAAAACGTATGCAAAGGAATAGGGTCACATATCAAACAATGGGCACTTCTGTTTCTGGTTAATAGTATATGGCAAAACTCATGCGGCCCGCACAAATGATGAGAAAATAACAACAGGAATTTTGAGCTAAAAACTAACAAAGCGCTAACCTCATTATATGTTGTTCTCCCTTTACTTTCAACTTTCTCGCAAACTGCAAAACACCAAACAGAACACATTATGATACCATTGATGTTGGCAGAAAGTGTACATCTACTCAATAGACATGACCTCTAGAATGCACTGCAAATGAATGCACAACCAAATGGAAATAGACAATAAAAACAAGCTCTGCTCATTGTTTGAACTTTCATTTGTGCTGTTAATGGACAAATTATAAATGTGAACATTGATGACCTTGAGTGAAACAGGTACTCGTACGGAAAGAGAACAATTTGACTGACCTTTCATACTGAACTGTCGCAACCCCCGGCCACCTTTATCAGGACCAACTGCTGCCGCTCTTCGCTTCTTCTTCTTGATGCTGTTTGTGAAAACACTTAGTGCACTAAACCAATTGATACCAACTATGGTAAGGATACTTAGAAGTACTCCCTCTGTAAAGAAATATAACAGTGTTTCTCTAGTGATGTAAACGCTCTTATATTTCTTTACAGAGGGAGTAGAAGTTTAAGCTACAGTTAACTATGAAGCGGCAAGCAGCAGTTTCCATTATTTGATGATTCCAAGTAAATATAAGCGTATATAGGATGGATATTAGATGAGTAAACCGAAGAGAGAGGCAGAATTGCACATTAACTTCAATGCAGCCTTATACAATCTGCACCTATATGGCAGAACAGAAACCATACGACTGATATTTTTACTGATCAACATGACAGTGCACACCAGTATGAGTCTACGAAATAAGGATCGGATCTAACTCCAATTACAGCAAGGCTAGCGTGCAAGACGTAATCCGAAGAACAGCCACGGAAAACACTACGGATCAGCGAAAACTCTAATATCCAGCAGCATCTGTCACTAGAAGGCAGTTTGGGATCGCGGTAGATGGCAGATGGGGAAACTCAATCTGGCAGGCAACCCGAGCAGAGCGATGTCCACGAACCTGATGGGAGCCTGCGAGGAAGGCGCGTCGTCGCCGTTGATGTCGAGGTTGTTGAGGCGGAGGAAGGCCGTGCCGTCGCTGGCGGGCGTGGACGCGGCGGGGCCCGCGCCGTTGGTGGCGGCGGGGCCCTGCTGCTCGCTGCGGCTGGACGGGGAGCCGCCGGCGCTGCCGCCGCTGGTGGAGGCGGAGTGCGCGGGGCCGCTGGAGGGCGGCGGAGTGCCCACGGGCGCCGGCTGCTGCGGGAAGCTCGGGCCGCCGCCCCCGCCGTTCTCGTCCGGGCGGTGGGGGACGCCGGAGACCATGGAGGCCGAGATCAAGCGGGATCGGGCGGAATTGGGGAGGAGATGGGGCTCTGAAACCCTAGCGAGGCGAGGCGAGGTTGGGGGGCAAATGGAGGGAGGGAGGGAGGGAGGGAGAGGAGGAACTCGTTCGGGAGAGCGGGGAGACCTTTAATCTGAGTTTTTTCCCTTGGCTCGTTGGGTTTTGTGATTGGGATTTGGCGGTTGCGCGGCGGGCGGGCGGCGAAGGAAAGGTCGTCACCCAACCGGACTCTGGTGTCATGGTGCTCTTCGCGGGCTGGATCTTTTCTCATACATCTCGTCGATTCTGATTTAATTGTGGTGAATTATTAGGTGGATTCGGGCAGTAAATGATAGTATCAAAACCAAGTACTAAATGGATCACAAATTCATTGCTTTCAGGTTATACTAATAAAAGAGACTGTGTGTTGCAACGGAAGAAACAAATCTTGTATGTCCTAGTTTGTTTCCACTTGAATGGCACATATAATGACTGAAATTTGTCTGCAGATCAAAAAGAGCAATCTGCTTTAGTACCAACTCTCACTTTGCACTTTTTTTTTAACTTGTAATGTAGTGTAATCATGTGTCCTGAAGGAATAGCATCAAATTGAAAATGGCTAGCACGAACCCGAATCGTCAGATCGTCAACTGCTCTGCTTAGCTCATCGTGACTTCATTTGTACACTTCTTGTGCTTTTTGTTCTTGCATGTCCCCTTGCAAGCGCTCACTTGACACAAGAGATGAGAGAGATACAGTAGTATTCACGAGAGAATGGATTCACCAGCTGATGGTTACTCATCATTATACATTATAGTTTTCCGTCTTTAATTGGAACACCAGAGTGTACGCAAGCAAAGTTTGGTTTGTAACCCACAGAAGACCATTTTTTAAACCTATAAAAAAGAAATTTAGTCCGTATGGGCATCATCCTTTTGCAAATATTATCGGAATGTCGTTCAAAGAAATAGAAGGCACGGACATGAAAGATATACAAACACATATTTTTCTAAATATTAGTACAATACATAGTCATGGATACCATTTTTTTTCTAAATCATCATGATTACATGCCAAGATCACAATTTTGTGTTGCTGAAATTTCATGACAACGGAGAAGGTATTCGAGAAGAGAACTGCCAAACAAAAAGCTGAAGAAGCCCATATGTGGCCATGTGCCACATGTTGTTTGTCTTGGTGGATACAACAAACTAATACCCTTGGCGATGGTCAAGATTATGTTTTGGTAACCTAGTGCCAAGAGACAATATCATTTTGGAATAGATTAGTAATTGGTTTAAACTATAAAACAAAAGTTGAGCTCCTCTGAATTTTGAAGTGGAGAGCAAACTTATTGTATTAGGTACACCTAGCGAGCTGTGCATTGCTGCATGATACTAAGAATGCCATGGTTATGAGCGTTATCAAAAAACACAAAGATTAAATACATCTAGTACGGATGCCTATTGTTCCTCAAACACATACCAAACTAACTATCAGATAAACACCAAACCGTGCAAGATCTGCTCAATGAAGCCAGCTATTAGTATTCAGTAAAAATTTGATTATAGTTGAGGAAGTGAGCACCAATATTTATCATCTACTAAAGACTGGTAACCAAGAAAAAAGAAGAGTTTGAAATTCAAATCACTTGAGTACCTTGCATGCGATCTTGTTAAGCTTGTGCATTTGTGTGAATTGCATCATTACACCTGTATTATCAAGTGGATTATCTTGGGCCTCTCACTCTCTCTCCAATCCATGGATGATATGTGTGGTTAAAAATAAATTAAATCGAGACACTAATACACCGTGTGGTTGTCCCTATTAAGGTCCTTAGGGTGACGACCCATTATACATGGGCCGGACTGGTGGAGCCGTATAGTGACAGGAGATCTCTGAAGCCGTGGTGTGCCCTCCAAGTCAAGAGGGTGCGGGATCTCTTGAAACCCTTATTGTAATCTATCTTCGGTAACCCTAAACCTACCGGTGTCTATATAAACCGAGGGTTTTTAGTCTTAGGGCTAGAGCTACATTCAACACCTCATCTCCTTAGGGTTTAGCTCATGCTGATCTCGAGGTAGATCTAATCTATAAACTACATTATACATCCAATATAATCAAGCAGGACGCCTCTTCGAGAGGGCCCGAATCTGGGTAAACACTGTGCATGTCGTCCCTTGTTCCCCATCGATTCCAGATCAACAGCTCGGGACCCCTATCCCGAGGTCTGACGATTTTGACACCGACATTGGTGCTTTCATTGAGAGTTCCATTGTATGGTCGCCCAAAGGATCGATGGCTCGCCTGATCATAGGAGAGGGCATCGGATCCGGGGACTTCTTCGTCCCCGGACAACTCTTCATGTTTGGTAGCATCGTGCTGCACGTAGACCCGACTGGTCTTCTGGGTCAAGTCGACGCCTTCGCCCCCGGACTCGTGATTCGATTCGGTGGTCTGGAATATGTTGCGGACGCATAGGGCGATTTGGTTTTCACCAGATTCACTCCCCCTTCCCGCACCCTTGCCACACCCGCTCCGGAGTAACTTTCTGATATGGTCTTCAGATCGGCCTCGACAGCTTCGCGCTAGGAGAGCTCCGCTTCAAGCAGGGGCCACACTCCACCTCCGTCCGGACACGTCATGACTATAGAAGACCTATCCTCGACCTACGAGGTAGAATCAGGAGGCAGAGGCCAAGAGTAAATCTCGGCCGAACCTTACTTTCACAACGCTCTCCTGGCCTTGCCCCTTACGACGAAGCAGCAGCTAACGGCCAAGGGTCACCCCCAGCGGAAAGCAGCTCGATCTCGAACCCCGACGGGGAAGCCATAAGCAAGGACCAAAGCCCATCCTTGACCTCTAGTGATGGCCCGGACCCCCTCAAGGATCCGGCTCCGCACCCCGAGCTCAGCACGGCCAGCGGAAATCAAGGACCGATAAGGGCATTGATCGCCCCACTCTGTTACACCGGAATTTGGCCCTAAATCCTCGAGTTCGATGACCCTCGCAATGATAAACGAGGCGCTGGACCGAATTCAGAACATGACCATCCAGGAGGACCTGCCCTCCGCCTTTAATCATCAACCCTTCGAGGAGTACCCCAAGGAATTTTGCATCCCACCCACCACCCACTTGGTAGCCACTATCGACGATTTAACCGATATGCTAGACTACAATTTGGAAAATACCAAATACATGGACGAGGAGGGCGAACCCCGGTCAATACTGACGTCGCCCCTGATACATCTCCAACGTATCTATAAATTTTGATTGTTCCATGATGTTATATTATCATTCTTGGATGTTTTACAATCATTTTATAGTCATTTTACATCATTTTTTGGTACTAACCTATCGACATAGTGCCCAGTGCTAGTTGCTGTTTTCTGCATGTTTTTACATCGCAGGAAATCAATATCAAACGGAGTCCAAACGCAACGAAACTCCTGAAGGATTTTTTGGGCCAAAAGACATCCAGTGGGCCAAGGAAGCACATGGGGGGTGGCTCGAGGGGAGTAGCACCCACCAGGGCGTGCCCACCTCTAGTGCCCCCTGAACTGCCTCTTTGCTCTATAAATACCCCAATATTTCAGAACCCCTAGGGGAGTCGACAAAAATCAATTCCAGCCGCCGCAGAGTCCAGAAACACCAGATCCAATCTAGACACCGTCATGGAGGGGTTCACCACTTCCATTGGTGCCTCTCCGACGATGCGTGAGTAGTTCTTTGTAGACCTATGGGTCCGTAGTTAATAGCTAGATGGCTTCCTCTGTCTCTCTTGATTATCAATACAATGGTCTCTTGGAGATCCATATGATGTAATTCTTTTCGCGCTGTGTTTGTTGGGATCCGATGAACTTTGATTTTATGATCAAATCTATGTTTTATCCATGAAATCTTTGATCTCTTATATGCATGATTTCTTATAGCCTCATATTTCTTCTCCGATATTTGGGTTTTGTTTGGCCAACTTGATCTATTTATCTTGCAATGGAAAGAGGTGCTTTGTAGTGGGTTCGATCTTATGGTGCTTGATCCCAGTGATAGAAGGGGAGCCGACACGTATGTATCATTGCTACTAAGGATAACAAGATGAGATCTATATCTCCGCAATAGATAAACGGATCTCATCTACATCATGTCATCGTTCTTATTGCATTACTCTGTTTTCCCATGAACTTAATACACTAGATGCATGCTGGATAGCGGACGATGTGTGGAGTAATAGTAGTAGATGCAGGCAGGAGTCGGTCTACTAATCTTGGACGTGATGCCTATATAATGATCATTGCCTGGATATCATCATGATTATTTGAAGTTCGATCAATTGCCTAACAGTAATTGTTTTCCCATCGTTTGCTATTTTTCTCGAGAGAATCCACTAGTGAAACCTACGGCCCCTGGGTCTCTTTTCATCATATTTTCCTTTGCGATCTATTTTCCTTTGCATTTATTTTTAGATCTATTAAACCAAAAATACAAAAATACCTTGCTGCAATTTATTTGTTCTGTGATCTATTTATCCTATCTACCACTTTTACCTCACATTATTTGCCTATCTTGAGGCGCCGTACCCGGAAGGGATTGACAACCCCTTTAACACATATTGGGTTGCGAGTATTTGTTATTTGTGCGCAGGTGTTGTTTACGTGGTGTGAGGAGGTTCTCCTACTGGTTTGATAACCTTGGTCTCATCACTGAGGGAAATACCTACCGTCGCTATACTGCATCATCCCTTCCTATTTGGGGAAATACCGAAGTAGTTCTAGGAGACATCAAAAGGAATTTCTGGCGCCGTTGCTGGGGAGGATCTTCAACATCAACCAGATTCCTAATCACAAATCTCGTCTCCTCGCAATTTACATTATTTGCCATTTGACTCTTGTTTTCCTCTCACCCACTTCACAAAAATGTTTCGTTTTATTCACCCTCTTTTTTGTTCGCCGTTTTCTCGTCAGATCTGTTTTTCATGTGCAATCTTGTTTATCACTTTTTGCCG